ATGTGTAGATTCAACTTCAGCTACTTATCTACCGAATCAGGTTATGATCCTGACACAGTTACTGTCTACGATGGCCCAACAATTAGTAACAAAATAATCAAACAAGTGTCAGGTTCAACATTCCCAACGGGCAACTTCTTTACGTCGGGACCATCTGCGCTTATAAAATTTCAGTCTGATTCAGACGTCTATGTGGGTGATGGCTTCACTCTGCAATATCAAGGTATTGTTATGTTTTCACGCAAATTTTTATATTTGTCTTTTGTGTGATGAATTTGCTTTCAAATATTACCTTCCTATATAGCTGTTCCCAATTCATACTGTGGGAAAAAGGAAGTTTGCACTGTGTCTTAAAAAATACAAACAAGAATGAAAAAGTACGTTAAACACGATCATTTTGACTGGTATACAATCATTGATTTGCCTATTATCGTAGCATAATCGTCATGTCACAATAAACATCAAGGGTAATAATGAACAGGCATACTGGCTTGCATATTACTACTTTTGTGTTTGCTTCCCTCTTTTCTCTTTTTGCCCATTATAATTATCGGGATTCAGCTGCTTATACTTTATTTCACTTTTAATAAAAGTAATGTCAGAAGAGGACATACTGAAGCTAGTCGTCGTTCGTCACTTCTCTCCTGTCATTCGTTCAAAAGTTTTCTCACGATTTCGAAATGTCATTGCCGTCTTTCGACACGAATTTCGAGTTTTGAAAGAGCATTTCTTAAGACTGACGAATTTAGAAAAGAACCATTGAGACAAATAAATGAATGTATGAGGTTTATACCTTTCTGCTTTGTATCATAATATTTATGCTGTCAGTATAATTAAAGATAGGTGGTTCAAGTCTATCTGTATTTTGAGAATAAGCTTGTTGAATATCACGAAAGAATATGTCTGTTGTAGAACCATCCACACCGATATGATGAAAGTTGAAGATGAGGATATCAGATGGCAACAACAGCTCTTCGTTATTATTTGACGAAGATCGTTTAATTGTGTGACATCGAAATATCTGTTCTTTGGTCAAATCAGAATGTGAAGGATTTGTTTCTTCATCGTAAAGAATCGCTTCGAGATCTTTCTCATCATTAAGTTTTGTTGTTGCAATCATTTCTAATACAGATGAATTGAGGTCAAGAATTTGTTATCGCAGAACACCGCTATTCTCATCGACTAGAAGACGACTGCGAGGCACATTGTGCTTTTCGATAACAGCATGAAGTGTTCGTTGCAAATGCATTAGTGAGATGGGATCCCCACCAATTTCAGAGGCTAATGGAACATGGTAAGAGGCAATATTCATACTGGTAGTACCGCAAAATCGAACTCTTTCGTGAAGAATGAGTCTAGTCTGGGCGAATGACGTAGGAGCTGCGCAGAACACGAGAAGAAGACACTGTGGCCAATATATATCATCACACCTCACCTTCGACTATGTTGAGTGACTGCCAGTCGGATTGCATGGTCGCCAGATAGAGTGTGGGTGTGGGTGTGGGTGTGGCTGTGGGTGTGGGTGTGGGTGTGGGTGTGGGTGTGGGTGTGGGTGTGGGTGTGGGTGTGGATGTTAAGAAAAAGTTATATCCACACCCACCCCACACCCACACACCCACACCCACACCCACACCCAC